GTTGGCTCTTTACGGAGCCCTCAAGTATGTGAAGGGAGGGGGAAGAAGGGCAGGAGCAGCAGGAGCAGGAACAGGAGCAGGAGGAGCAGGAGGAGGATGCTGAGGAGCAGTCGTAGTAGCAGTAGCATCACCAGAAATGGAAATAAGAGTAACTGCAGCCTTGAACGATTGACAATTGCCATTTAAGGCTGTTTTCCAAGCACTTCATATCGCTCATACGCCATGCAGGCCAGCGAAATGAATGAGAGAAAAGCAACCGCTTTCAAAAAGGATATTTTAAGAAAATTAATGCTTCATTCAGGACAATCATATAAAGCACATGTGAAGAAGGATGCCAGTAAATTTAAAGAGGCTTGACATCGCTGCTTGAAGGGTTTTTTGAGGTGACGTCAAAATGTTAAATGCATTACCTTGACCTGTACTAGCCACACTTATCCCGGTCAGACCGGCTTCTAGCTTCACAGGCTTCCAACTTTACAGGTTCCCAGTCTCTTAGGCTCCTAGGCTCACCCAATCTCCACAAACTCCATTGCAGAAGTCATCTCAAAAGCGTTGGTCAAGCTGCATACAAAAGCAATTAACAGTGGCACAAAAGAAAAGAACACACAACAGAGAGAAAGCTGGCAGGAGTTGGGGAAACGGAAACGGAAATGGTGGTGGAGAAATAGAGAGGGAGAGAGTGATAGAGAGAGAGAGAAAGGGAGAGAAGAGAGATTCTTCCATTCCCAGACGGAGAACAAACACAATTCTGATAAGATTAGGGCTCTGGACATGAAGCAAGCACGCAGGCGAAGGCTACTCTGGCTTACAAGGATTATGCACAGAGAGAAAAAATACTATAAAGTATACAGAGAGAGAGACAAAGTTTCTAGCCATCAAAATACCTTACTGTGTGCCAGTATAAATTAAGTATAAACATTAAATATTAAAGAACTTGTGATACATTCAAAAGTGTATCCAAAAGAATGAAAAAATTGTGTTTTAATAATACATTTTATATATAGAGAGAAAGTTTTTAGCCATTAAAATACTCTAATTAAGGAATTTTAGTAAATTAAAAGGTAAAAATCATATTAACACTACTTTTTCTAAAGGGAATTACTATTATCTTGAAATTTTTACTTGAAATGTATTCAATATTCTTTCCCTTGTTTTGTTATCTTTATCTTTATATATTATTTCTGTTTCTATTACGTTTCTTTCAAAATGTTGCCTATACTTTTGTTCACAGTGCACAACTCCTCTTGGCAAGTCTCGGCTAACGTCCTGCAACCCAGAGACTCCACTCCCTCGTTCGCCCGTCCATTCAGTCCAGTGTGCACGCTTTTACACTTTCAATGACCACTTGAATGTCAACAAAAGCTTTCAACTGACATATACAACCACTTAAAATAGAAAAGCACTGGCCTACACACACGCACAGGCTCACACACAACGCACACACCCAGCGACACCCATTGACACCCACCCACACCCACACCCATTGGGCAAGGCCTAGCTAACATGTTTGTGTATTTATTTTAGCCGCGAGTTAAAACGAGCCATGTTCCCAAACAACATCAGCATCAGCATCAGTGAAGGGCAGCGGCCTCCATGACATGATGTGCCACACGGCGTATGAGTAACGTGTAGTCGCGGAACCCACTAAGTCAGTGAGTGTGTGTGTTGTGTGTGTGCAGTGCCACGCCCATTGCTGACAGCATTCTCCCTCTCCCCCTGCTCCCCCTTGTTTGTCTGTTAGCTTGTGTCATAAGCAATAATTCTCCATTGTTGGCATCTCGTTCGTTACGCCCTCGGGGCTCTCTCTCTCTCTTGTTGCTTCGCTCCTCGAGGGGGGGAGAGGGATTCATACCTCACAACCTTTGCTGCGCACATTTTTATGAGTTAAGTGCTATCCGGCACAAATGCCAGAGCACACACACACACACACAAAGAGGATGGATGCGAGGTGGGCACCGCCTACCAATCTTCCTCACCTTCACCGCTGAATCCCACACTCACTCTCTCTCTCTCTTCCCAGCATCCTCGCATTTCCTCCGGACTGGACCATGCCCACTTATTGTGCTGTTGTTGACGCAAATCCTCTTAACTAAATCAATTTTCATTTGTGTGTTTGTTCGCAAGTGTGTGGGAGTGTGTGCGGTATGTCCCTTGAAAATTCCCATGAACTTGAGCCGCATAATATGTATGAACGTGTGTGGGGAGGGAGATACTCATTGTCCAATGGCTTCTTACTTGACCGCGATCAGGAATTAGTGGTTACTAGAGGCAGCCATAATAGTTAAGGCTAAACTATCAAAAGCAGGAAAAGAGGTAGCTTTCAGTTGTATAAAGAAAGCCTTGATAATATTTAAGATCTGTATAGATCAAAGTTTTGGCAGGGTAAGAAATACAGTTTAAAATATATATTTGTGAAGGAATTAAAAAGATAGATCTTGAATAGATAGATCTAATATATAAGATCTGTTTAGATCAAAGTTTTGCAGGGTAAGAAATACAGTTTAAAATATATATTTGTAAAGGACTTAAAAAGATAGATCTTGGATAGATAGATCTAATATATAAGATCTGTATAGATAAAAGTTTTGGCAGGGTAAGAAATACAGTTTAAAATATATATTTGTAAAGGAACTCAAAAGATAGATCTTGGGTAGATAGATCTAATATATAAGATCTGTTTAGATCAAAGTTTTGGCAGGGTAAAAGTTTAAAATATATATTTGTAAAGGAACTCAAAAGATAGATCTTGGATAGATAGATCTAATATATAAGATCTGTATAGATCAAAGTTTTGGCAGGGTAAGAAATACAGTTTAAAATATATATATGTAAAGGAATTCAAAAGATAGATCTTGGGTAGATAGATCTAATATATAAGATCTGTTTAGATCAAAGTTTTGGCAGGGTAAGAAATACAGTTTAAGATATATATTTGTAAAGGAATTAAAAAGATAGATCTTGGGTAGATAGATCTAATATATAAGATCTGTTTAGATCAAAGTTTTGGCAGGGTAAGAAATACAGTTTAAAATAAATATTTGTAAAGGAATTAAAAAGATAGATCTTGGAAGGTGTTCTGTTGATTAATTTCTTAAAATTTTCTCAACCAAAATGGTTTCTGTTGCTTATAAAATACTTATCTTTCTTTTTTAGCAATAAAACCCTTGTAAAAAACTTGTTTTTATGTGCACAAAAAGCTTTTCATCGCGAATTAGAGTGAGATGGCTAATGAGATCTCCGCCAGACTGAAAGAGAGCAACGCAAATCAATGACGCGGTCGCACCTGGCTCAAAATCAAAGTTGCTTTATTATTACGTAATAGACACCTTTCAGCTGACAGCAGGTGCACTTTGCCTGTGAGTAATTAACACCTGGCACTCACACTGATGCATTTAATGACAGGTTAATTTGCCTCATGTATATGTGTGTGAGAGAGTCAACAAGAAAGGCCACACAGAAGGAGGCCAGCCAGTCAGTCAGCCATTAATTTGCTGGTAATACGCAAAACGACACTTAAGCCGCTTCGATTTGTGTTTTGGCCTAGACAAAACAAGCAACAAAAAAGTAGGAAAATTAGTTGATTAAATATATAATATATATGTATATATCCATTGAATCCTAGTCTATGTCCATCTCACTCTATTTCCTTTTAACGCCTACTGGACAACCCATTCTTAAGGCGGCTCGTTGGTCTAGGGGTATGATTCTCGCTTCGGGTGCGAGAGGTCCCGGGTTCAACTCCCGGACGAGCCCAAGTCTGTATATATTTTTTATATTTATTTATTATTTCATTTCCATGCATGTTCAGTTTAATTTAACTATTTGTTGGCAAGGGCAAATAAATATGTGTTAAACAAACATTCAATTATGCCGACAGGGCCGAGTTTTCTTGTGACAACTTGCACATTTATTATTATTGTTAAATGACAGACTTTTCCTAGGGTTTTATTATAGCCCGACAGTTGCAATTGCAAATGTAATTTTTTGTTTATTCGTTGCATAAAATAAACATGCAATTAATTGTGGCAGCTCTGACAAGAGAGTGGGGCCAAAACAAGTGGCATTCACATGATGGTTTTTTTTAAGAACGATTCAGCATTTTGCATAGGAAAACCCAGAGAGAGAGAGAGAGAAAGGACCACAATCCGCCTGCTGATGAGACACCAGAGTGGACAAAGCAGGGATGAGGCTCTTCCATCAATCTGTCAGTCAGTCAGTGAGAGTAGAGTCCAGCCAGTCAGAAGTCAACTCCCAGGGGGAGGCAGCCAGTCTGTCAGTCAGTCAGTCAGCCAGCTAGCGAGTCAGTCAATCGAACAATCAATCATAGGGAATGACAGGCTACGTCGGCTTAAGTCAAAGGCACCAAGTCCAAGTCCAAGTCCAAGTCCGAGGGAGTGTGTCTCTGTCTCCTTGTAACTTACACACTTTCCAAAAATAACCAAGTGGCCCTGTGTTTAATTTTTAATGTTTAGACATCGAATGAGTAGGGTAAAACACACTCAATTCCATTATCAAGGTTTTAAATCATTTACTTGCCAATCAATTATCTTTGCTTTTGTCATGATTAAAGCATTTTTTTTTTTTTTTTTGTGGAAGATTTCTTTACGAAATTTGTGCGTAACTCGTACTTTCTTTCAGTGCTCAGTTCTCAAGTCGATTTCGGTTTCACAGGAGCATCGCCACCACACACACATTGATTTATATGCTGGCAGCGCCAAAAATTGAATGTTATTGCTTCAATGGCCGCAATTTAGTAAAAAGCCACGCCCCCCTTCTGGCCTTGACCCCATCCGCCGCCCTCAGCATTGCCATCCGTAGCCACATTTTGGGCGAGACTTTGGGCCCCCAACCTCTACCCTGTTTTGTTATTTATGAGCGTGTTTATTTATTGTATGACCCAACACTTGATAAAATTAAACGCAAATGGCTGGCAATTTTGCATTTGGCCATTTTGATTTCGTATATATATGTATATATTTATATAGTTTGAGGGCACTTACCAGAAAATATACAGCAAATGGCATCACGACCACGGCGACCAGAAGATCGGCAATGGCCAACGAGACTATAAAATAATTCGTGACCGTTTGCAGTGAACGCTCACGGCATACGGACAGGATGACCAGGATGTTGCCAAAGAGGGTGAGGATGGGAAATAGAATCAGGATGAGCGCCCAGTAATTGTGGTCCACTGAAAAGAGTTACAAAAGATGAATATTCAATGGGATTTGTTAAGGTAGAAGGCTGAATACTCACCCACTCGCATATCTGCGCAGGAATCGGTCAGATTGAGCGTCTCATTGGTGCAATTAATCCGATAGCCATCGAAATACAGACCGGTTAGATTCTGCTCGATCAGTAGGCCACCGACACCAACACTGCCGGAGGAGGAGGAGGCCGAGGAGGAGGCGGTGGCCACCATGCCCGAGGCGGCAGTGGTTGTTCCCGAAACCGTGCTACCATTGTAGTTAGGAAAATAATCGTTAAAGTTCTCTAGGAGTAGCATAAAGGTGCTGCCTCCAGTACCGCCACCACCAGCACCAGCACCCGCACCTGTTCCTGCTCCTGCTGCTGCACCCGCTCCTCCTCCCAGTCCCAAACCTCCTCCCGTTCCGCCGCCATCGTAGCTGGTTCGATTGTGCAGCGTTTCCCGCGCCGCCGTTGCCGTTCGCTGGAGCAATTCCGCATCCCCGAAGCCACCTAGCAGGCCATAGTCCGTCTCCGCGTCCGCCACATTGTCCAGCGCCGCCTCCTCGCCGCTGTCTATTAAAGCGATGCCAGCATCGCCACCACCACCGCCGCCGCCAGCAGCCGCGCCTCCCATTCCGCTCTCCAGCTGCTGCTCCACAAAGCTACGCAGCGCATATCGTCCTCTGGGTTCCGCCTCCGTTTCCGTGTCCAACTCCAGCTCCGTTGTTGCCGCTTCCGTTTCCGCCTCCGCGGGCACAAAGCTAACATTACCTCGACTGCTGCTGGGCAACGTGCTATTGAGCACCTCGCTCAGGTCAAGACCCAGCCAGCCTAGGGTATCATTGGCCGCGGCCGTACTGTTCTCTGATCCTACATCCGTATCCGTATCATCAGTGCCCACTCCCACGCCCGCCGAGCTCAGCAGCCACTCGCTAATGTCATCGATCAGCGCATAGCCAGCATCTTCCGCCTCCGCCTCAACATCCTCGTACAGCGGCAGGTAGCCGGGTGACGTCGTGGGGCTCCCAACGCCCGTCGCCGGCTCCCCGCCCACCTGCCCTGCCTCCGTGCTTGCGTTCAGCAGCAGGTGGTGCATCCTCCACGGGGCTCCGGCGGATGTGGCTGCCGTCGATGTGGAGGTGGATGTGGATGTGGATGTGGTTGCTGCCGACATTGTGACCATGCTGCCGGTGCCGTTGCCGGTGCCCGATACCGGTGTACCGGTGTACCGGTGCCAGTGCCTTGGCCCCGCCCTTGCCAATTGTGGATAAGGGCTCAGCCTCTAATGGGGCGGTGGCGTGGCACCGGACGCAAGCTGCAGCGCCTTCAACGCCAGCGGCATGTTTCCTTTGGCTGTAATTAAGAAGAGAACGGGGGGGAAAGAGGGGATTAGAAATGGTCAAAAAAGGGTTAAAAGGTTCAAGGTGTGTAGGCAAAAGGAGAGCTCCTTTGAAGGTGCGCCGCAAAGTATGCTCTAAAGAAATGTTGCCTTAAATGTTGTCATAAATGTTGCCTGCTTTTATGCATAACTTTAACTATACTTATTCTCTCTATTTTGTGTTTGCAAATTAATTATAGAATTAAATCAGAAATTAATCATAACTAAGCTTAAAGTATATTTTATTTCTATATATTTATTGTTGTTTTTATATGACATTTTCTTAAGACAAATCAAAGTTTAAAATGTCACAACTCAGCCAAAAAGGCTTTAAATTCACTTCGGAAAGCTGTTCTATGCTAGTTTTTATTAGATTAAAAATCTGCATACTCAATTTAAAATTTAAAACAATTTAAATTTTTATCAATTTTTTGTTAAATTTTAACGATAAAACACCTTATAAAATTTTCAAAAAAAATAAAAAATAATTTTTTCCTCCAAACATAGCTAGATCGATTCTGCTGTTGATGCTGATCAAGAATATATATGATTTATAAGGTCGGAAATGACTCCTTCATATAATTATAATAACTACTCATAACTAAAATTAGAATACTTAAGCAATGGGTATATGTATGTAGTTTCGTAAACATGTAATTAAAGAGGATGATAAACTTTTAAATAATTGGTTATTAAATCATATCAAATAGTAAATATCAAACGCTTTCTTCGTTGATTCATTATAGTTAATGAAAACTGAATCAATTAAAGCATTTACATTTTACATTAAATAATTAATATACAGAATGAATTAAATTCAATATTTTTCAACATTAAACTTCATTTTAATTGCTAGAATTCAAGAGAAATTTATCGAAATGACTGATAATTGAACCTCATCGAGGTCACAGCTTGGTGCAGGTCAGCCTCAGAGGCGATAGTGAAAGCGATTGCGTTTTAAATCCGTTTACACACTCACAGACACCCCGACACACCCTCATCCCGGGGTTGGGGGGGAGGCAGGGTTGAGACACTTTGTGCCAATGCAATTATCTATCGATTCCCACCCCCATGGGCTGGACTGGCTGGCTGGCATTGCCGCATGTTTAATTAACTCTTTAATCAATTTATTGCCAATTATTCTACAAAAAGCGACAGCGAAAATTGTGTAATTTAATTAAATTAGCAAAAGGTTTTTGTGTTCCACTTTCGCCACGCCCCCTCCCCCCAATCTCTGACCCTCTCGGAGTCCTTTCTCCTTTTCCTCCTTTTGCTCCTCGCTCTTCTCCCGTTCTCCTTTCTTTGCTCAATCCTTTTGCCTTGCTGGGGCTCTTACACATTTTGCAATTTCCGCTTTTGTATTTGCCAATTGACGCTGATTAAAGCCGCCCGAGTCGCTGGCCCATAATTAAAAGATGGCTCGTTGTAGCCTAATGAGAGGAAAGTGGCTGAGGGTCGAAAGTAATCGGATCGACGGAAGGGAGCTCCGGCTCCAGCTCCGGCTCCAGCTCCGGAGTCCGATCTCCGCGAGAGATCCTGCAGTAGTCTGGCTTTTTGCCACTAATCAACATTTTTTTGGCACACTACCAGCATCCCCAGGACCTGGGGACGAGGTCATCGAAATGGCGCAGTGCCGCAGTGAGTACGTGAGCCTAGTCCAGGGGCCATTTTCCATTAATTACGAGCCGAAACTGAGTCCTTACTTGCAGTCAAAGTCTGTCCAAGTTCGAGTAATTAATTTCACTTTCGCCTGAGCAATGCCTTTGGATATGCGCCAGCCACACGCGACCATAAAGCACAGGGTCTGGAGTTGGATGTTGACTCTATGGGATGGTCTGTTCTATAACATCCTAATCATTGCTAACACACATTGGGCTCACCGCAAAGAGAGTGTGGGTAAGGAAAAGGAATGGTATGTGGTTCCAAGCTCCAGGAGGTTCACCAGGTTAATTTCTCCTTTTCAAAACTGAATGATTGGGTTTAATTTCATCGGGCTTCCCTCAAGATCTTAGGGCTTTCTCTAGATTTGGCCTGAATTTCGCATCGATTGCTCTATGGTTTGCCCAACACAATTACTCATTGCCTGGCAGGTCAGGCAGTCAGGTTAGGGGAGTGGGGTCTAATCACTTGAACCCACTCAACCTTGAGGGGGTGGGGCGCCGCTTATAATATGACGTGGCCAATGCAATCCAATCCTAGCAATCCCAGCCAATGTCGTGCCTCATTAACAACATCCGGCCAGTGGCAGGGCACTTCCTCTGGCACCTGCCTCATTCCAGCCCCGCATCGCACCCCGCACCACCACCACACGACACTCAATAAATCAGCAAGTGTAATTATTTTCAACGCCATCGTTGAGAGTCGCGTGCGGCCCAAGGGGTGGGAGTAGTAGGGGTAGGGTCTAGGGCCAGGGATCAAGGATCAGGGGTTGGCAAACAGGGAGGCGAAAAAGTTTGTCAGCGGCATTTTTACACTGGGCGGAGCAGGAGTTTGTCAAGGGAGGTGCCAAGGTTAAGCCAATTCACACAAACACACACGAGTGAGGATGAGGATGTCCCTGCTCCCAGCTACAATTATAGTTTCTGCACTGCGGCACTCATTTAAAGTTTCGAGTCCTTGAGAGAGTTGTGACATAAAGGATAAAAAGAGAAAAGGACTGCTTATTCAATCTCCCATAACTCCCATAGTTATCGATCTTTTCTTGACCAAATATTAATATTTATTAAAAGCGAAATATGCAGCCTGTACACACACTCTGTTACAAAATAAATAAATAAATATGGCAGAACGTGTCACGCAGGTCCTCGCGATATCTCTCTCCCGGCATCTACTCTCACATAACTTTTGACCCCTGGCCGTAATTCAGATTGAGTGGCAATCGTTGGGGGAGTGCGCTAAGCAAATTGGTTTCAGATTTAGCTCCACCAGGACACGAACACGAACACGGGACACATGCTGGCCACCACCTCCCCCTACCCATCCCCCCGAGGGCAAAAGGAATCACGACACCAAAAACGGATCCTGCCAGTGTCCATATGTGTGTGTGTGTCTCTATGTGTCTATGTGTGCATCGCCTGCGGGATGAAACAGATGCTGCGCGCCTTGCCCAAGATAAACAATTTGATGTGCGATGGTCCCACGTTTCACATCCTGCTCCATGTATCCTACTCTCGCCGCCTGCGGCAATTGCTTGTTAACTAGTTATGCGGCAGCTTCAGCTCCTCTGCTGTCCGAAACTTTAAACATTTCACACACACACACAGAGTGCCAATGAACACGGCAAATTCTCGCGAAACTCTAGTTTTTTTTTTACATTTGTGTGACATTGGCATGACATTTGATTAATTCCATTAGGACGGATAGACGTCCGGGGTCCAAGGCTCAAGGCGTAAGGCTTAAGGCTCAAGGCGTACGGCTTAAAGATTCGCACGACAACGCGGCGTATGAGCAATGGCCATAACACGTATACGCACTGTGTGCTGCTCATAGTAAGTACTTTGCTGGCGGCTAAAGGTTCTGTGTAAATATTCATGAGTGTGGAACATTTAAGAGGGGCTGCACACAGATTTTAAGATGCTCTAGGGTAGAGATTACCCGATGGTAAGGTGTTTCAGGTACTTTAAATATTGAATTTTTGTGGAAAATCATAACAATACTAAGAAATCTTCTAGGTAAACCCAAATAATAAACAAAACTTATACTTATTTCATCAGAATATAAATATTTTCATTGCCAAAATTCCGTAAGTTTAAAGGATCCTATTAAACTCCCCCTATTAGCATGTGGTTCGCACACAAACTCCCCTTTTCTTTTAGCCCCTGAATGATTTTGAATTTGGCTAAGCAAATTGGGGAAATTCCCGGCTTAAAGTTTATTGTTTGAATGACTGAACCAAATGGAAGGGGTGGGAGTGGCTGCCAGCGGACAAAGGAAATCGCGACTAGATATATATATATATATGTATATATATATATATATATATTTTTGTATATGGAACAAAAACCGCTTATCGCTTCAAGTCTACTCAAGCGTCAACAGAGCGATTCATTCGAGAATTTCTTATGCTTCACTGAACCAGAAGTGTCGTCGTTGCCGTCGTCGCTCGGCGTCGCCCGGCATTTGGCCACATCGTCGTTCGCATCCTGACTATATTTATACACGCCCTGAGGTGTGTGTGTGTGTGTATGGTGTGTGCCAGTCATCCAACCCGTGGCACAACCCCACATCCTCTTATCATCATTTACACAGTCTTTCCTGGCCTGGCCAATGGTTGCCCCTTTTTTTTATTCTTTTTTTGTGCCAACGCATTCGATTTTTCCCTCTACCCCTGACATCCGTTATTATTGTGCGGCCTCCCCCCCTCGTATTCTTGTCTAATGGAAAATTATTGAAAAGAAAAGCCAAATTGCACGCTCAATTTTCTTATGGGAGGCAGGAGGCTGTCATGTCCTGTTATTCCTTTCTCCACCAATGATTTTCCCTTTTGATGCAGAAAAAGTAAAGTGCGTCTAAATTGACCAGAAGGAGTGAGTCAAAAAAAAAACAGGCAACTGGCAACTGGGAAATGGCCGTGGAAAAACCCAATGCCGCCCAGCAATCTCAGCAGAAAAAGGATAACACAGTCCGGATGGGGACACTACTTGGCAGGCGAAAGAGGAGAGATTAGGCAGTCGGCATGGGATTATGAGGAGCTATAGGAGCTATAGGAGGTTCCGAATTCTGGTCCTGGATTTCAGAAACAATTTGGTCAATGCGAAATATAATTTTTCTTCTGTTCTAAACCTTAATTCTTAGTTATTATTTCACAGTTATTATTTGTAATTAAAAATGCTCAGTTTTCTTACATTTTATTACCTTTAAATAGGCCCAAAATGGTATCTTATTATATCCTCTGGCAAGAAATTTAATACAAAAGGTATACTCCAAACTCTTAATCTCTGTCGAAGGGTCGGGAAAATGGGGAAAATGGCAACTG